AAATGGTTGAACTCAAGACTGAGGATGCATTTCAATCGTATGCCATTCTTTCTCATCGATGGATTGAAGGACAGGAGGTTTCCTACAAAGAACTTCGCGATAACCAAGCGACTGCAAAGGCAAAGTCAGGCTATTGGAAAATCCAGAGAGCATGCTTCATAGCACTTTGTCATAACGTCAATTATCTGTGGGTCGATACTTGCTGTATCAACCAGGAAGACCCCAGCGACGTCGCACAGAACATTAACTCGATGTATGAGTACTATCGCAATTCAAGGGTTTGTCTTACTTATCTATTTGATGTACGAGACACACAGAAATCCATCGCATATAGCGAGTGGTTTAAAAGAGGGTGGACGTTGCAGGAACTGGTTGCACCCCGAAAAGTATTCTTTTTCGATCAAAATTGGTTCTTCAGAGGAGACAGGACGAGCTTCAAGTCAGAAATATGGTGGGTCACTGGTATCGACCAGGAGGTTTTGCAAGGCTTAGTGCGAGACCTAGAGGAGATAAATGTCCGGGACAGAATAGCCTGGGCCCGAGGCAGGAAGACAACAAAAATACAAGACATGGCATATTGTTTGCTCGGGGTTTTGGGGGTGGAGTTGGAAGTGTACGAGCAGGAACCGGTCGAAGATACATTTAAGCGATTGGAGGAAGCATTTCTTCGAGCTTATCCTGAAGTAGGAAGACCTCCTGATGGGATTTTCATGTTTCTCACAGGTGTATCTAAGGACTTACCGAGTTCGAGTTGAAGTCGTATAGGACTGTTCACACTTGATCCTATTGTGAATCAGTATCTTTCGTTGATCGTGGATTCTCATATTGTTTACGAATAGTCACGATAAGTAGTAAAAGCTCTACACATTTAATACCGAAAACATAATAACTATTCAAAGATTAATATTAGAAAAGTTACCTGCTTCACGTGGGCCAGCAGAGGCCTGCTGGCATTAATGAGTCCTGAATTCAAAGTAAAACTATAGAACTGCTTAAACATTACTTGCAGGAATAGTGATCTAAAGAAATGGACCCATTTAGCACAAAATCGGAAATTTTAAGAATCATTCTTGTATCTGATTTCACTGTCTTGTTTACAGAAAACAACCTGAGTATTGAGTATATTGCTCAGAAATTTAGTGGGGTTGATTCTCAATCTTCACCGGATTTACCAACTTGAAGGCTTTCCTTAGATAAAGCAATCAAATTTACATTTAATGGTTTCCTTGCAACCCTAAATCTGTTCGCAAGTCTTCTTGCCGCCTTCAGGCGCGCGATATGTCAAGTGAGTTGGTAATAGTGCAAAAATAGCATGTATTATTTTTGATTCTTTCCGGGAATAGCAGGTGGACGCGATGACGGACGGGTAAGGGGGTATGAGAAGGAAAAGATCTGTCCAGATGGTACGTGTCACCTAACCAAGGGATAATGTGCGGGTTCAACTTCGTTGAAATAAAAGTTGTCACGAAACCTGACCCGAATTTCTTCCTACCGTGATTTGAAAGACACAGCGACTAAACAATTTGATCCGGTACCAAGAAATGACACCTGAACTGTGCAAACTCAGTAGACAAATATTTCCACCTGAAAGTGACAAGAAGCCGACTATATAAGGTAAGATGAATTAGGACCGGAAATAGAATATATCGGGAACATTTTTCCCAAGCCTGAAATATCTCCGGAAGTGCATGAAATCGGCGCTCCGGAAACAATCCCTGGAACTGGATCCGGTTCTACCTGTTTCGGGTAATATAAAATTTGTGTAATCAAGTGACCATATCGCTTGACTGATAAAGAGAGTTTCTGGATCAAATATCTTTTCCCGAAAAAAACGCGCTTTCGGTGCCTATTTCCGGTCATCAGATAAGATTATCTTTCAGGAATACCGATTTGACGCGCACGCGTTCACGCGTCGCGTACGCACGTCAATGTTCGACGCGCGTCACATCTGGCGCGTTTGGCTTCGCTCCGATCCTCCACTACCACCTCCCCAGTGAGAAAGAATTCATGCCAAATTGAAAAGTCTCAGTTGTGGTACGTCAAGAACTTGCTGTATGCCGTTTTTGACATTAAAATCAGTGTTCAGCTTGTTGATGGCCATGACCTTCCTCGATGCTAAGATTGTTTTGTTTCCAAGCCTGAACTTTGTATCTTGGCAGCCTTTCTCGCAACCTTCAATCTCATGCGAGCGCGTGTGTTTAGGTCTCGCCAGTCAAAGAACCGATTCCATCACCGACTTGTACTAGTGTCAGACTTTATTTGCCGAACAAAAATCTGACCTAGGGCAATCAACGGAAAGCGAAAGAGCGACAGGAGTTTTCACCGGGGTGGCAGCCCTAAAAATTGGTCTATGAAGATTCAGAGAGAGTGGAGGAATTTTTGATACGCTTTGGTTCTTTATACGATGAGAGCATCAGGAACGCTCTTCTATACAGTTCCGAGTACCTCAGGAAAGGTTCAAGTTCAAGGTTACCAAATCAGTCTCTAGTCTAGTTTGCGCCTACGTTGATACTAATGTGCTATAGCTCCCAGATAAAATGTTGCTCTTCAAACAACTCAAGGATGACCTAGAACACATCAAAAACGAGACGTTCACCAGGGCACTAGAGTTTTCAGAACTAGAGATTTGAGACCGGCTTTGCGAGTCATAAATGCATTATCTATTTCCGTTGTGGGGCAGTAAACAGCATAGAATCGTAATGTATGTAGTATATTTACACATCATTCGGCGGTCTAAAAGTTATCGTACTTGTCCGTGGTCCTAAAGGGACACCAACACTCCGTACCGACGGCACCACATCTACGGCACGAATACGATATTGCTCGCCAACAATCTCTTTTGTGGTCATCATAAGTTTATCTAGCCTGGCAATGCCAAAGGCAGTTGAGACGCCGACGCAGAACATCCTGCAGCCACTTGTGAGTTGCGCATTGAGTAAAGAGCGTCTCTTTTGTGAGATTCCGAGGAAGCCCATAGTCTTCCTCTGCTTCACGATGCATCACGTTGAGGCCATGGTACTTGAGCAAAAAGCGATCCAACAACGGACAAGCCGTGGTTTGCAGCAATGGTGTTCCTGTACGCAACGCCGTAGTTTGAACGACCGCTAGGATTGTTTTGTTTAGGAACATGACGGGGATGACGCACCGATCAAGCATGTCCCCCTAAAAACTCGGATCTGTGAACCTAGTCCTACCCAAAAACGCATGTATCCATGCGGGCTCCAGATGCTCCATTATTGACAAGAGACGTGAAAGCGAGTTCCCTATTGAACTCTAGTCAGACCAGATCTTTGCAGAACAAAGATGTCAATGAGTACTGACGCCTGCAATTCAGACATTTGCTGATACCAGCGCTCAGGCCAACGACCAACGACCTCTTAGTGAGAACTGGAGAAAGAGAAATCATCACAAGTCGGTCGAATGTACCTCGACTGGTGCTCACCTCATATTTGAAATTTGCTCTAATAGCAGCAGACAGATTCAGCTTACTGAGATAGCAACCAGGCTTGCTACGATTTCCTGGCTTTCATCTTCTCGAGTTGGCGTAAGACAAGGTGGCACAATAAAGTGCGCCGATTTCAGAGCATGTAGTCGCAAGTGTCGTGTGTTGGTATTTCCGGATAGTGAAGGGGGGAAGAATGAGGGTATACTAGACGAGAAACAAGTTTAGTTTTTCATCGCAACTTGGTGACACTGTCCGATTTACAATGCAGCGACACAAGTACAAATCGACGCTGAGGGCAAGTAAGTCATGTAACACAAACGATGAAGTGGATGAGCATCTTACCCAAGCGACGCCCCAACCAACACCAGGACTCGAAGGCAGAATGATAATTCCGTCCTGATACGAATACCCAATGACCTGAGAGAGGCATTGCTCAACGCTGTGCGGACAATATATATAAACTCATAACATTGTAGTCATGAGAAAAATAAGGATTTGCATCAGCGGTCCTGGCCAGTAAAGCCCTGCAAATAACAAAAACGGAAAGCATAACGCAGGCGTTGCAGTAAGACCGTAAGGACTACCGTTTCCATCACCGGAAATATACCTAGGTGCAAATGAGGATTATGAGCATAGCAAATGTAAAGCATAAAGAGGTATCACGAATCAAATGAGCATGCCGACTATCCCATCCAACGAAGTCCCAAGGATACACACGACTTGGTCGAAAGGGATGTCACCACGGAAACGAGAGGTGGTTAATGCGCCATGATACCGGTATCGGGGAGGTCGTCATCCTGAATCTGTTAAAGGTTCGAGGTTCTGGAAACTAAGCAAGGAAGCGAGTGTAGAAAAGACCTCGGGGTGCGCGACAGGATCAAAGTTGGACGAGACGGGTAGAAACCGATGGCTTTGTTGGAAGCCGTGGGGTCAATGACTCGGGTGGTATGAGCTAGAACCTTTTACGGAACATGACGTCAGAACGTCGTTCCGAAGGAACGGCTGGTCCAAACGGTCGCAAATAAGATAACTAGTGCGGTGTGATCAGATGCCAATATACTATCTGTCTTGATAGTATATTAGCGTTCATGTATCACCGTGAATGCAACGCAATTCTATATACTAGTATTGCGAGGTTTGGGAGAGGGCTCGGCCCGATCACGTGACTGATGCGAGCGCTTTCCGTCGGGAATGCAAAGTGCTCGAAACATTGGTAGAAACTCGGAACGAGACCTGAGCATCTGAGGACGGTGTCAGCAGCCATTGCGGGATGCTAGACATTCCCCAACCGGAGACATGTCTCCCAATTGGCAGGATCCCGATCCAATCAAATGCTGACACCCCCAACTGTGGAGACAAGTATCCCAAACCTGGTTTAAATGTATGGTATCATGGTGTAATGGGAATCATGTCTGGGTTCAATAGTAGTAAGAGCCGTCAGTTCCCAGAAGATGGCAGTTCAAGTCTGCCTGGTACCAGTAGGTTTTCTTTATCACCTTTATGTTTCTTTCAGGTATCACTAAATGGTGAAATGTTTAGATCTGAGATAAATTGCGGTGTCATGGTGCAGTGGAAGCACATCTGGTATCGGTAGTATGTTGAACCGTTGGAATCCAGAAGACGTCAGTTCGATTCTGACTGACACCCATAGGTTCTCTATAACTTGGCGAGAAATACCTTTTATTCTATTATCGTTCTGTGAGTGTTTTCTCTTTGTGGAATCCGATATGCTGTTTCTGTTGTCAAGTAATCGCATGTAAATAATGACACAACAACAGTTTCATACATTCTTTGGAGTAGCGACAGTATGAACGGTTTACATGGGTACAGTACATTTCAATCAGACAACAGGGCTACAAACTTGCTACCGGTAGATATCTGCAAGTACAAGGTATTGATAACGGATTCAGAGATGCCATGTTTGTTATGGAATTTCGTGAAAATCTGCGACAATAATCGGGTGTGGTTGGTATCATAGGCTTGGCCAATCGCATTTGATATGACTTCTTCCAGTCGTCTCCAGTAAAGGAGGAATGTGAGGGATGTCCAGCCACCTAGTGCTGCAACGTGTTTGGGATCAATTCCAGCAAGGAGGAGTTCAGTAGCTCTGCCAATACAGAAACTATGACCGAGTACCTTGGTCATCATGTGTTTAGTCCAAACGTCCAGGCATACTTCGAGGAAAGCGTTCTTGGTTAACATGTGTGGTACCCCATTCTCCATGTATGAGAAGAGAGGCCATTCATCTGGAACATCTGCGTTGGCTTCAAGGTTTTGTTTGAAACTGTGCCAGGCACATATCTTCTCTTGTTCTGGGGGTAGACGAGTGAGGATGAGATGGCCACCCTTGGATTTGGTTGTCTTCATCCAAGGCAGAGTGATCATGCATGAAGCGCCTCCGCTTGCATGCTCTTCCCATTTAATATTGGTTCCTCTAGTCATGTGGAATTTCTTGTCGAACTTTTTCGCTGAAGGAACTGTGGTCTTGCCCAGATGTCGCACTCCCCAGAATGTAGACTTTGCACATGCCTTGATCGCCAGGTTCTTTGGTGAGTCATCTAGTTCATTGTTGAGGACTTCAATGTGTTTAGGTGTGACTGGCGCTTGTTTTTCTCTTCTGAATTCGGTACCCTCTTTGAGAGCTGTTGCTCTGGCCATCTGGACCCAGTGGTCTGAACCTTGCCAAGGCACACCGTGGATTTTATGCCAGGCCTTTAAGCCAGACATGTGTTGTGACACCGTCTTCCCAGACATAGAACCCATTTCGTGACTGATAAAAGCCGTAAGCAAGATCTTATCTGCCAGTAACCATTTTGACTCTGGTATGTCAAACTAATCACAAAACTGCACCCAATGCAGGAGGCCAGCTGCATAGGTAGATTTTGTAGGACCCACTATAGCCCCTTCAACGGCTTTTTCGGCTAATGCTAGAATCTCCAGCAAATATTCTTCTTGACAAGTCTTTTGCCATTCGACCGCTGCCAGTGACTTCCACCAGTAGAGACGTTGTTCGGCCATGACTTTGGGTCTGTATGTGGAGTCTTCACACCTGTTTTTGGGTGGTGGGCGATGTGTGGTCATGGCATGTTCTGGAGGTTGGGCTCGATGATCAGAGAAAGACAGTTCATTACAAGATTCTGATTTCAAGGAGATGGATGAGCATGACGAGATGGAAGGAGATATGGAGGTGATAGACGGCAGTGGTGAAGGAGATGTGCATGGAGGAGATGGCATGATCGGCGAGTGAGAGAAGGAGAGTGAAGTCGGTTTGCGTAGCTCAGTAAAGGATAGGAATTCTTGTGTGGCAGTATTTTCTTCTCTCTTGGGTTCTGATTCATACTTTGGCTGTGTCTTCTCGGATAGGGAAGGAGGTCTAGCGAGTGTGGTAAAAGGGACAAAGAAATTTTGGGTATTGGGGCCTGTTTTTGATGCAGGTCCTTCGGAGATTGACTTGCGCAGAGAATCATCTCTCTTGTTCCTTTCTGGTAACGATCTGGTCAAGAAAGGGTTTCTGAGGCTAGTTAGTATTGGATATCTCCGGCGTGATGACACTGTACCTATACATAGTACAAAGTCTTATCAAGTTCTTCAGGGAGAGGAAAGGCATCTGCCAGTTTCAGACTAGGGTGGCGTTTGAAAATTCCGTGTGAAATTTCGTCGGCTGGGTTTTCTTCCAATTCTATGTATCAGAGTTCAAGAGAGATTCATAGAGGACCAAGAATTGTAAACATTCTGCGGATGGATTCGTTCATCCAGATGTTTGCGCTGCGTGCTTTTCTGACGGCGCCTATGGCTCCTTGGTTATCTGAGTGCAAAATGATGAGTGCAGAGTGAATGTTTTGTGCTGCTAGGTGATATATGGCAATTTCAATGGTGATGGTGCAGTAGGATTTGCAATTTGGTCATGGGCTTTGCCTGCTTGATTTATAAATTGTGTTACTACATCGGCTGCATGGTCTCGAGCCAGCATATGTCTCTGCCTGGGATCTTCCAGTGGGGATGGAGATGATAAGCTGCCCAGCAGTCACCAATGAGTATCCCAATGCCCCAAGAGGTGGATGCATCTACATAGATGCCCATGTCAACTGGTTCACCTCTGTGTACTAACATGCGATAGAAGCCCTCTTTTGACAGTTTGTTGATCCACCAGTAGAGATCGGTGAAGAGACGAGGAGGAGTGTGCTTCCTGATGAATCTGTTGCCACAATATGTGGCCGCAAAATTGGAAATGGATGGGAGACAGGTTCGACCATCTTCGTGGACGAAAGAACAATGAACTAGAGTGCTGTGTACGATTTCAAAGATGTTGAGTTCATGAGGTATGTTTCTGTGAGCTACAAGGTTGCATACACGATTGAGGTATTTGATTCTTTTCTTGTCGGGTAGGCTAACCCGTTTCTGGGGAATATCCCATATGAAGCCAATGAAGGTTGTAACGAAGACGAATTTGGTGTTGCCTCTGTCAAATCGTCAGTACTGTGAAGTATGCATTGTGCTCGGACTGGCTTACTTGTCAGGGTGCCAAGGGACTCCAAGTTCTTCGATAGCGCAAAGAAGTTCAGTTTGGTCATAAGCATAGTGTCCTTTTTCATGCATCCAATGACAGAGGGACTTTAAGTCATCTTTGTATTTCAGGACAGGAGCAAAACCCTTCTTACCCCAGATGTCAATGACTGCATTCGCTATCATTCCAGCATTGCTACTGGCGCACACTGCACCGAATGGCATACAGTGGTCAATATAGAATTTGCCCAGTCTGCCCTGAAGCACGAGGTATGGTTTGTGATCTGGACGAACAGGACATGTCTGATGGAACTTCTCGATATCTAAGGTGCAGGCCTGAGTGCCTTCAGGTGTGTTCGCGATCTGCGAGATGGAAAGGATGTCAGGGTCAGGTATTTGAGTTCATGAAGTTAGGCTCACAATATCAGTGACTCAGTTTGCCATATCAAATTGGGTAGGGAAATCATCTTTCTTGATGTATGAGTTCACCGACGCATCTGCTCTTGTTCCCTTGGAAAGGTGATGACAGACCCAGAGTTTAGGATCAAGACCAGGGCCTTGGTCCTGTTCAGTGACTATGAGGGGGGAGGAGATGAAGTGACCAGGCATAATTGCTCTCATCTCCTCTTCTGTGAATGGGCCAGACATTCTGCTGGCCTTCACCTCGTCCTCAAGGTATTTCAAGACTGCATTCATATGCTTCGCCACCGATGGGTGATTTGGATGGATCATGGTATGATCAAGAACTGGCATGTCCCCAATGGGAAAGCCTCTGATCAGGTAGAGACTGGATAGACTGAGTTCGTCTAGGGCCTCCCTGAACACTTCTGCATTGTACGGTGTAACGATACGTTCAAAAAGTTCGTTCTGCCAGTCTGGAGTGTTCAGGATATGGGGACATTCATGAATGTTCCCAGAGAAATCCTGGTAGTTCAGTTTCAGCGGCTCTGCAAGTGACAGGAAATGTTCAATGTCTTCAATGGAGTATGGTTTCCTAAACAAGCTGGCTTTGAATGTCAAAAAACACCAGAAAATGTGAAACAAAACCTTAACTTCCCACTGGGCATCATGATTTGTCCTCATTCCTAATCTGTATTTACGAGGCCGACTATAGGAGGACTTGTCCTTACTAGACTTGACTCGCACAGGTGGCTATTTTCCTGGACATATCCCCATTTGGTTATTCAATTCAAATATTTGACACTTACAGGTTACAGGTTACAGGCCTCATACATGTCACATGCAAGTGATAGCCCACTTCCTTTATAACTTACTCCATAAGAGTCAATAATACAAAATAGAAAGACAGCTTAACATGACTTTGGCCAGTTAACATGGAGCACAGCCACATAATGTAAAGCCTATGTCAAATAATACAAAATAGAAATGACAGCTTAATATGACCATGGCTGGTTGACGCAGAACACAGCCACATGCCCAACTGGGTTATATGTTCTCAGGGACCAGTTAACCTGACCACAAAAAACAGGGGATAAGAACTCGTCCTCTAAAATCGGACTCATAATTTGTTTCTCAGGTCATTGCCATTTACTTACAACTCCTCACAACTCTTATTCCTCTACTTGTTTCCCTGGGTCTAGAGAATTGTAATATACCTATCATATTTATATTTTCCTATTTCAAGCTGGTTTTTGTAATATAATCACCCAGTCTGCTTACTTACTAACATAAAACCTTTAAGCTGTTCTATAGGGGCATTTGAAAGGATAGTTAAGCAGATAAAATATATACTAATTGCATAAACAAAAAATATACTGACCTTCTATCATATGGTTTCAATATGTTTTACTACCTCCAAAGATTTATTCCAAATTGTCTAGTACTAGGTACACTATAGAAATCTTGTTGGTTCTTAGCAATCATTATAAGATTTTCTGGGTTGCTTGTCAGGATGAATATTTTAGCATTAATGTCAGAGAAGAAAACAGTGATCATACATTGAAATTTCTTCAATAATACTGAATTTAGTAAATTTTACTCCAAAATCAAGCTTATATAAAAATACAATACTTAGGGGTAAAAATCTTAAGCATCTTTGACAGAGTACATGTCTATTATAAGATATTTATCAACCAAAATAAAACAGTAGTCATTATATTCATTGCCAATATACTTCAAGTCAC